ACAAAAAAATCACAGAAACAAAGAAAATCACAGAATCCCAAAGACATCTCCGATAACCCTTTCGAAGCAATAAAAGATCTAAATAACGCGCTGTCACTCGATCCGACGTCGTCGTCCTCGAGCTCTCAAGTGGGACTTCGAAAAGGGAGGAGCAAGAGGAGCGAAGGAAAGAAGAAAAAGAATAAAGGAGAAGACGGGGGAGAGAAGGGAAGAATGGGGAAAAAATAAAGAAGAGAAAGAGTACATGTCGATTCACTGAAATTCGAGAATGAAAAAGGGGTGAGAGAGAGAGAGAGAGAGGAAATGAGAGGAGAGAGGAGAGAGAGAGAGAGGAGAGAGATGAGAGAGAGAGAGAGAGAGAGAGAGAGAGAAGAGAGAGAGAGAGAGAGCAGAGAAGAGAGAGAGAGAGAGAGAGAGAGAGAGAGAGAGAGAGAGAGAGATGAGAGAGACGTGGGAGAAAAAAATGAAGCGTGGGAGTTTAAGAATTAAGAATTGAGTTAAGAGCTAAGAATTAAGAATATAATTCCTCTTCTTCCTCTTCCTCCTCCTCCTCTCCTTTCTCTTTCCTTCTCCTTCCTCTCCTCCCTCCTCTTCTTTCTTCTTCTGCCCTCCTTACCCTCCTACTCTTCCTTTCTTCTTCCTCCTCCTCCTCTTCCACTTCTCACCATCCTCCTCTTCCTCTTCCCCCTCCTCCTCTTCCTCTTCCTCACCCCCCTCCTCCTCCTCTCCTTCTCTTCCTCCACCCTCATCCTCTCCTCTCCTTCCTTTTCCTTCTCCTTCTTCCTCTCCTTCTCTTTTTCTTTTCTTCTTCCTCCTCCTCCCTCTTCTCTTCCTCCTTCTCCTCCTCCTCCTCTCCTTCTCTTCCTCTCATCCTCCTCCTCTTTTTTCTTCTCTCTTCCTCCCTCTCTTCTTTTTCCTTCTCCTCTCACCCCTCCTTCTTCCTCTCCTTCTCTTTTCTTTCTCCCTCTCTTTCTCTTTTCCTTCCTCTCCCCTCCTCTCTTTCCTCTCCTTCTCTTTTCCTTCTCCTCTTCCTCTCCTTCTCCTCTCACCCTCCTCCTCTTCCTCTCCTTTCTCTTTCCTTCTCCTCTCACCCTCCTCCTCTTTTCCTTCTCCTCTCACCTTCACCTCTTCCTCTCCTTCTCTTTTCCTTCTCCTCCTCCTCTTTCTCTTCCTCCTTCTCCTCATCACCACCACCACCACCACCACCATCACCACCAACACCTCTCGCCCGGGAAGTATTTACCTCACTACGAACGCAGGTGTTTGTCGAAGCTGCATGCGGATTCGTCCCTTACGCGAACGGCGACTTCAAACCCTCAATCTGTTTTTTTTTTCGTTGAGTTTTTTGTGTTGTTTGTGTTTTGTATTGGTTGTTTTTGTTTTTGTTTGTTGTTGTTGTCGTTGTTCTTATTGTTGTTATTTTTTGTTGTTGTTTTGCTGTTGCTTTTCTTGTTGTTATTTTTGTTTTTGTTTTTGTTGTAGTTGTGTTTGTTTGTTGTTTTTGTTCTCTAAATCAGAGTATTCAAGGTCAAGCATATCTATTAATTACCAGTCTGTTAGTTAGTCGTCTGTCATAAGATGACATACATTTCTACATCTATTTACATAAATTCCCACAAAATGCAACACCCAATAGATTCTCCCGTAGGTAAAAAAAAAAAAAAAAAAAATCACAAATACAAAAAAGAAAAAAAAATCAAAGATACAGAAAATAAATCAAACACACACACACACAAACAGAAAATAAATCAACACACACACACTCACACACACAAATCAAACAGATACAGAATTTTTTTTATATACATACAAAATCCAAACAAACAAAGAACATAAAAAAAAACATAAACAGAATAAAATTATATCTTTCCATTTCCTTCGTCTCGTTTCCAATTTCAAAGAACTCGTGACGCCCCGGCCTCTCTAGATCCAATTTGAGAACGCATGTTAAAAGGAAAATAAGATGATAATAATAATAGTAATAAAGATAAGCAAAAAGATAAATCATGACAAGAAGAATAACCACAACACGAGATGGAATTAATTCGTCACGTTTTATAGGGGGGGGAGGAGGGGGGAGGAGGAGGGGTGAAGGGGGAGAGGGGGGAGAGGGGTAAAGGGGGAAAGAAGGGAGGAGAAGAGGAAGAGAGGGAGAGAGTAGAAGAGAGAGAGGAAGGAAGAGATATTGTTCTTATTACTAGAGAATAAATATATGTATATATATATAGATGTATATATGCATATGTACATATATATACATATACATATACATATACATACATGCATACATACACACACACACACACACACATACACACACACACACACACACACACACACACACACACATATATATATATATATATATATATATATATATATATATATATACATAATAATATATTATATATATATATATATATATATATATATATATATATATATATATATATATAATTACATACATACATACACACACACACATACACACACACACACGCACGCACACACACACACACACACACACACACACACACACACACAGATATATATATATATATATATATATATATATATATATATATATATATATATATTATATATATATATATATATACATCCCGTAAAACCAGAACTTACACATCCTCACCTACCATCTCATTAACCCCCATCACAACC